ATGGAACCAGTAAATTCTCTAGATTTTCAAAAAGCCTGCTCAAGCCTAAAACAGCCTCTTCTGTGACATTGACAGATAAAACCGGAACTAGTTTAAAAACAGACGAAGATAAATCTAATCTTTTAGCGGATTCATATGAGAAGCAGTACACTAATCCTAGAACAGAGCAATTCAATTTACCTCCTAACTACGTCTCCCACCAGCCATTCATTTATGTGACTGATGATGAAGTGTACAAAAGATTACGTGAAGCAAAAAATTCTTGCTCAGATACCAGCGATGAAGTGCCTTTTAAATTCATCAAACTCATAGCGCCACTGATTTCTAGTGCTTTAGCGCAATTTTTTAATCTAACAATGATGAAGGGTTGTGTCCCCAGTAGATGGAAATCCTCCATAATCATTCCGTTACCTAAAAAAAGTAAACCAACGAATCCAGTGGACTATCGTCCAATTTCTCTCACTTCGCACTTATGTAGACTGTATGAACGATGTATCTTAAGTAGACTAGCTCTCTATCTAGATGAGAGACAGTTTTGGAGTAAGAATCAGCACGGTTTTAGAGCCAAAAAATCAACAGTTACTAATATGATGGAGACATTAAACGACTGGACCAATATGATTGAAAATAAGGGACAAGTTGATGTTATTTACCTAGATTTTTCTAAGGCTTTTGATAAGATTCCCCACGATAGGCTTCTTAACAAACTACTAAAACTCAACCTGAATGCTCACTTGTTAATGTGGCTTGATGATTTTCTTTCTGGTCGTAATTATAGAGTAAAGGTGGGGACCACGCTTTCAGGTTCAAAACTAGCAATTTGCGGAGTCCCGCAAGGTGCAGTTTTGTCCCCAGTTCTTTTTGGGATCTATGTTAATGAAATATCGTCTTTCCTCCCTCACGAAGTTCATTGTAAACAGTTTGCAGATGATACTAAACTATATGCCTCGATTAACGAAAATGATCCTGACAACCCGCTGCAAAAAAGCATAGACTTAATACATAATTGGTCTGAAAAATCCAAACTCCCTCTTAACGCAAGTAAAACCGTTGCTCTTACAGTAGGTAAATGCAAGAAAACTATGAACTACTTTATTGAAGGTCAGTCTATTAAAAAAGAGACAATAACTCGTGACTTAGGATTTCTAGTATCTGAAAAACTGGATTTTTCTGAGCACTGGAGACAAGTGGAGATAGTCGGAAACTAGGAAGATATATTAACCCAAACGATAAGAAATATAAATCTGCGAGCAGGCGCAACCTACTCTTTGGTCTTAATTCACTACACTCCAGACGCTTAGCAATAGACAGGAAAATGGTATCAAAATGATATCGGAAAAAATAGGTCTGAACGTAACTGAATTTTTCGCGTCAACTGAAACACGTACTAGAAGAAAGACACGATTTCTCTGGCCCATTCCTAAATCTAAACTAAGGCGAAACTTCTTTGTCAACCGCACTCTGAGTCTAATTGAGAACCCAAGGCCCCCTCTCTCTAATTTGTAAAATAATTTATTATTTCTGTTAATCATTATTGCAGGTATAATTTTTATTCTGTATGCGTGTATGTGTTGATGGTTATGTGCTATTATTTGGAAATAGTGTTACTATTCCGCTCTCCACTTTATTTGAATGTGTTGTTTAGTTATTCGAGTATCTGTGCTTTGTGTGATTGTATTGTATTCCTTTTCTCTTTTTTTCTCTTTTTCCACGACGGAAGGTCGTAATCAATAAATAAATAAATAAATAAATAAGTTCAGAAAATCATTATTAAAACTACTGAAAAATGTCAATTCAAAAAGAATTTACGCAGATGATCTCGTAAACAACAGAGGTGATTACTGTAGGCTAGGCTCCACCCTCAGAATTTCCGAGATTCGTAAATAAAAAAGGTTTGAAATTCGGAATTCTGAAAATACAGGGGTTGGTGAAAACTCTAAATGAATTAGGTTGGTACAGTAGTCAACTGGGGAACATCTTCAGAAGACGTCAAAATCATAAAAGATATCAAATTATAAAAATTGCTAATCTATCTGTTCATACGTTTTTTCATTTGTGGTTTCTGATAAACGCCTGATTAGTCAATGGTAATCATGACAATCATAGGTTTCCTATTTTTCAAACAAAAAGACAGACATCAAAATGTAGATAACAGTCTTGAAATAGTAAAAAGGCGATTATGAAGCACCTTGATATAAGCAAAGAGAGCGAGTTGTAGACATACATAAAGTTAATCCATTAATCATCGATAGTTCACATTTTCAAGAAATCTTTTACCTAGAACAATTCTTATGAACAATTTCTCAATTACAGTCCTCTTTTCACCGTTTTAGAGTTTCCAACTTATACTCCACACATAACTAGTGTATATCTTATTCCAGAAAAAGCATTGTGAAAGAATTTTTAGAATAAGATTCTGATCAATACCTTAAATCACTGACTACAGTTTCCCTATACTAATACAGTAAGTTATTGACAAATTCAGTTCGAATTTCGCTTTTATCAGCCATTCAAAGATCTTTGATGCGTACTGAAGTGAAGAACACGATTCGATTTTTTTTTTCTGCGATAGTGACACTTAATTTCAGGTCTTCTGCATATTGATGAACCATGACAGTTTTACTAATAGCTGTTCACACAAATATAAAAAAAGACAAAAGAGTGGACACCTAGTGGACATTTTCAATTATGGGCAAAAAAGGGAATATGTATTTCTTATGGGATGTTCATGAATCATGATAATATAATCTTTTATTTCAACCAGTTTTTTCTTATGCACCATTAAAAAAAATCATTTTTTCATGAACGTTTTAAAGATAATCGTCGAAAATTATATCGAAAAATGAATTTCCGAGTGTTGTTGAAAGGAACCAGGAAGTTCAGCCCAGAAGGAGCAAAACTGTGTACTGAATCTGAATTTCCTATCCAGTTTTTTTTTCATTTTCTCAATACCCGAGTTTCGAAATTTTTGTTTTTCTGAGTATCCGAAAAGAAGGTTCAGCAGAAGAAGGGGCACGCCTTCTCCATGAAGATACAATTGTTCTAGCCCCTTCCCGGTGTATTTAATGTGCTTTAGAACCAAAGGCTTAAGAGTAGTTGTGCGTGTGGGTGATTCTAAACTTCAGAAATTCTGAAAACCCGACACTCACAAATCGAAATATCCAGAAAAACAAAAATTTCGGGTGTTAAAAAATTCATATATTTATAAATTTTGGAATTGAAATATTCCGGATCTTACATTAGAATTTCAAACTCAATTTTCAAATGTCCTTCTCAGAATGCACTGCAATCAGAGGAACAACTTCAATTAAGGGTTTTCGGTTTTAAGCTGAAGAAGAATATTTAAAAACACGCAAGACTTAACGGAAATCACCAAAAGTTGGAAAAACAATTCGTCTGAAATAACCAAAAAGACGAACTGCACAGCCAGAGTTGGATTCTATTAGTGGTGGGCTTCTATTAATCGGTCCTTTTCCATTTTTTTTAGTAAATCGGATATCCGATACTTCAGCAGAAAGTATCCGTTTTTCCGGTTTTTTCTCCAAAAACTTAATTCAATGCTCAGTAACGGTAATCTAATGTTAAAAACAGGCAAAATCCAAAAAATATTGAGAAAGCGCCTTTAACGTTTCATTATTTACAGCAAATTTTTTTTGGAAAATTTTGGCCAATTTTTTAAAAAAGTCGGAAAAATCGGATTATCCGTTTTCTGACTCCGGGTAAACCTTCAAAGATGTGCACATCTATCAGAAAAAAAAGAGTATTCAGAAATTCCCATATTAGGAAAATGGGAAATTTGAAAATTAAAATCTTCGGAAATTTCGGGCACTCGGAAAGTGGGAAATTCTGTAATCAGAAATTGAAGTGAACATCCTGTGAACGGAAGCCAGGAGGTTGAGCCCCCGGCAGGCCCCCCCCCCCCCCACACTGTCAAGTTTGAGCTGAATTATCTCAGCCCCTATAAAAGATATCAACAATGTGTCAACTGATAAAATGTATAGGATATTATGATAAACATTTTATCAGTTGACAACTTTTTCAGATATTTTACGTGGACCGAGAAAAATTGGCTCAAAGTTAAAAGTAAAGCGGCTCTTCTATTACAGGTCTTACGATAATAAGAACTGGTTTGTTTCAATGACAAAATGAGTATACTACGTTTTCTCATCAGAGGAAAACATTTGAGGTTTTAGAAACTCATTAACATAGAAAATTTCTGAACTACAGTTATCCAAAATAGAGAATTTCTTATTAGGATGATATAAAAATCGGAGCCGTGGAAGAGAAAAGCTTGTAGGCGTGGCTAACGGTTCCCGTAACGAAAACTACTGCAACCTAAAAATACCGTACTTCCTCTAATTGAAGGCTTCTATTTTTCAACCTCCTTTTTAGGAAATTACCAAAAACTGAAATTACTAGAAATTTTGCATGATTCTGGTAATAAAATTATGCATATAATACATTATGCATGATTCTGGTAATAAAATGGGAAGAAATGGGAAAAATAAAATTCCGAGAGATGGTTTGATCCCAGCTAATTCTCAAATGTTTTATATTGTTCATTTCCTCTTCTGAACTGTTTGATTCTCTACGGAAGTAGCATTCTTTGAACTCCGAAAAGGGATTTGGCGGGATAAACAGAGAAAACCAGATTGATATTTCGAATCTGCCCTTTTTTCAAATTTTGAAAAAATAACATTATCAAGTGATGTGTTAAAGTGATGTGTTTGATATTTTGGTATTTTAATCTGATAGTGGAGTGCAAATATCAAGACACACCCAATTGTAATAAAATTGGAAAAAAGGGCGTTGCACGAGAACAGTGGTTTCCTCGGACGCTGGTGCTGCTGGTGCTCATTAAACTTCTAGTTCGCGGATGTTTTTTTTTAACGAAACGAATTCAAATACATTTATTCAGTATAGAAATCAAGGCGAAAAGCTTATACAAAGTTGTGTGAGAAGGCGAAAGGAATTTATAGCACAGTTGACCCGTTGTTCCATTAGCGAGCTCCTCTCAGAGTACGATTGCTTCCTTGGAACATTTTTGACGGCTGCGACTTTTCTTTTGCCTCTCGTTCACGAAGCTCCTTTTCGAGTACATCGACTCGTTTGTAATCATAACGAACGAACGAACAACGGCCTGAAAATATTTGATTGTAATTGACAGGTATTCATGTTGCAAAAAAGCATTGGAAATTAATAAGATAATGCTTACCTGGTTTGTAGTCCTCGTTAACGACAACTGGTGGGATTGCTGGTAAATCGTTGGCTACTGCCGCAGCATCACTTGTACTGGCACCGGTTGTTCCTTCCGAACACAGCGACACCGACGACGTTGGCTTTTTCTTTCCGTCGAGTCGGCGTCCAGCTCCTCCAAAAACCGACGTGGCTGTTGTTGCTGCTCCACCGAGAGGTTTGCCGACTCCAACAAAAGCAGAAGCTGGTGGTGGTGGAGGTTTGACATTGACGGCTGGAGCAACTTGTCTTGGCTCCTCAACATATCCCTCTGGAGCGTCGAAATCAAGGTTCACATCACATTCGATGATGCACACAGAGTTGGCTGGTTTGACATCAACAATTGAAAATTCGAGTGTCTGACCAGCATAAGAGGTTGGAATACGGTCACCTTTCGTAAGACAAGCATATTTTCTGAGCTCCACTTCCAGAAATGCTCTGAAAAAGGTTCGAAAAAATGTTCCAACTCAAAGTTCAACTAACTTTGGGTTGGTAATATTCAAAAACTCCAAAGACATTGGTTTCAATTTGGCGAATGTTGCTTTTGGAACAGTAGCTGATTCAACACGGATGGTGTCTCCATCAGAGAGACCCAACTGCTGCATCATCCAATGTGGAAGAATAGCTTGTCCTTCTGGCGCTGAGAACTCCAGAACTCCACAGTGTGTAATTCTTTGTGCAGCCATATTGGTGAGCTTGAAAAAAGGTTTTTTTTTGTGAAAAACTCTCCTCGGATTATGTAGTTTTACCTTGAAAAGCATAGGATACTGAATATTCATCCGAAGCAATAGATCGAGTGCAGAAGTTGGCAGTAGAATTTTTCCACCATAGTTGATTTCAGCGATTTTGGTTTGAGTGGCATTTGGAAGAAATACAGCTCCGTAAACCTGTAAAACTAGATTTACACCGAATTAGGTCGAATGCTAGTACGAGGAATTCAAAATGATGTGTAGTTTGGCGACGAGGTCTAGTACCGAAAAAGCTTTCGAACATTTTGGATGGCTTATTCTTGAAAACAGAAATCACTCACCACGAATGTTTGATCATAACTACCTCGCATGTGGCCCCCAGGACCGCCCATGTTAAGTTGCTGAAGCCACGCTTGCATTATATTCTTTTATTTCTGAAACATGAAACAAATCGTTCACATCGAATCTTTATTTGTATATGTTTATATGTTGTGAAAGAAATAGAATGGATACGAAAACCGGAAAAATATTAGTAGAAGAGCAACAAACATAAATTTATTATGAAAAATCGGAAAAGTCGATTGGGAGAACAAAAAGGGGGAAAGAAATCGAAAAAACACGCTGGGCAACATAGGAAAATGTATGAGAATGATGATATTGAAGAGACAGCTGCATTGACAAACGCGCTCCGGCGAAAACTAGAGACGGCGATCGCCGCGACGAGAAATGTGTTCAACAGACACATCGATTCAGGGGAGATAGAAAAAGAAAACCGTCACAAACACTAAATACTAGAAAGAACGGGGTATGGAACAATTATCGAGAGAAATGCAAATGATAGGAAGTAAAAATGAAAAGAGATATTGTATGATCTTTAACAACAGAAAAAAAACAAATGCAAGAGGATGAAAAAAAAACTGAAGAATGATAATTAGTAAAAAGAAACAAGGCAGTTCAGGAATCCTGAATCAGGATGAACTGCTTCAAAAACAACTTATAAATTAAAAGGCAATTAATGCAATAATTGGTTACTGTGGTCAAGACTCGAATGGCTCGTCAAAATCTTGATCAATACCGGTACCGTAGTAACGGTCTCCAAAATTCCCCATTCCAGGAATCAGATAGCAATTTTCGGTCATTTGATGATCCATTGCTGTAGTGATCAGTTTCACCTGAATTAATATATAATTTGAAAAAAGTCTTCATTTCGAGTATTACCTTAGGGAAGGCGTAAGCGAGGGCATGGGCTCCTTGTTGCCCCATGAGCAGGGACGCAACAAATATATCCTCTTCCTTGACATCATGATCGAGAAGTACACGAATGGCCATCATTGCTGCACTTCCTGTAGTCACAGTGGCGTCCATGATGATAACTTTGTACCGAGTGATATGGGGAGGTAAACGAATATAATGGAGCTCTGGATCGAAGGTGGTTTCGTTTGTCTGGATCAAAATCTTCCCAATGACGCAGTCTTTCACAATCGAGCGAAGAGCAGTTTCCATACATTCTCCAGCTCTCATGATTGGCAACCCGCAGATCATAGCATCCTTCCTTTTCCCAATTGTTCTAAATGATCTTATTGAAATTGCAATATTTATTTTCTGTGATATTTAAACTCACTTTCTTCCTCCAGCCATTTCGATTTCAACGTCTTTGTATGGCATATGATTCATGCATTCTTCGATGAGGATACGCATCAATCGATCAGAGTAAAAGATGTGATTGTCTCTACTCGTATCACGATCACGAACAAATGTGACGAGACCCTTCACCTGTGGAGTTTCTTTTAAAATGAACAGATTCTCCGGCAAACAGTCTGGTAGATCATCGCGAACCAAGTCGTGACGATCGCGATTGTTTTGATTACGATCGTAACCACGCTCGACGAGCTGCGCCATTACATTCTGAACAATCATGTCAATGGCAACGTCGTTTTCTCCTCCGCGTGGCACAATGAGATCTGCCGAATCCATACACGGAGCAATGTACTTGTCAAACGCCGGCTGCAACTCGAAAGTTACTACTGACGTTATAACAGTTGTCTTACTTTTACGAATGTAAAGTATTGCTCCATGATTCCATCAATATCACGTCCGCGATCGGTCACATCTCGAACGATACGACGAGCGAGACGAAGATCACCGTCAGTATCAACGAAAACCTTCATGTCCATCAGGTTTTTGATTCGCTCATCGTGGAACGCCAGAATCCCTTCGAATATCAAGACATCGGCACCATACATCATCTAAAATAAAGTTTAAATTGACAACATGAATAAAAAGGGAACTGAAAAACCTTTGAGTTTGGATCTCGCGAGTGGGTATTGAAGTCGTAAACTGGGACATCAACACTCTTTCCCTCGCGAAGCCTTTTCAGGATTTCATAGAGCAAGTCGAAATCAAAAGCTTTCGGTTCATCGAAGTTGTATCTTGATTCATGAGCCTCCTTAATTTCTTCAGGAGTGAGAACCTTGTAAAAACTATCCATCGATAGAATTGTGACCCATGGTATTCCGAGTCGCTCAACGATTTTCTCAGCAACAGTAGTTTTTCCACTAGCTGAACCACCACAAACTCCAATCACGAACGGATGTTTCAGAGACTTTCCTTTTTTATCGTACCATGGAGGACGTCCTTTCGTATATATCTTCTGAAACAGAAAAAAAGATATGATAATCCTTATTTTACCCGGGAAAAAAACCTTTCCAGTTTTTGTGGTCAGAAGATGATGTTCGGCTCGTCCTCCACTCATTGTCCTTCTTCTAGTGCGGCATCCGGCAGCTCTCGGCGATACCGAGTCTTCTGAGTCTCCGCCATTTTGGTTCACCATTTCATTGACAGACGAACCTGTATTTTCAGAGATTATTTGAAATTTTAGCAGGTTCTCGACTAAAAATAGAATGTTGAGAAGAACTTACGCATCTCTTTTCAACCTTCCGATTTAGTCTTGATATTTTCCAAGATAAGAATCTAGAAATAACACTGCGCCTAGAGCCTTCTCCATACGACAATGCGATTCAGTAAAATTATGTTATTTAACAAATTCTTTGGTGTTTTTTTTTCGAATGATGAAAGTCGGTAATGTGTCTGATGTCACAAAATTACACTATCAGTTTCAAAAGCGGAAATCGTTTTCGAAATCAAACGTATTTGGAGAGAACTAGGATTATGTTGAGTGAAATGCAGCCGTTGTATTAAAAAAAACTCCACTGGCTGACACACAATATTTGAACAAATGTAGCACATGCAGCATCCGTTTGTTCGTTTGATTTATATTACACTCACCTGAAGAATGACTGTATGTCGGACAGTCTTCAATCTTCACACTTTTTCGGTTGGAATCCCCTTTGGAGACAGCCACAGAACCATCTTTCTTTTCTGCAACCATTCTGAAAAAAAACTGTGTTCTCTTTGAGAATCTAAGGAATTTCAAGGTAAACAATAAGGTGGACAGTATTGCGAGGGTAGGTTATTGTTTATGTAAGTTTCCGGGTAGTGAAAAGATAATGTGAAGAAGATAACTGCTGACCAGAAATTTAGGGCAAGACAGAATAGTGTTTTCACTGAGATTAAGTCGATTTGTTGATCTTCTATTATATAGAAACTAATTCGCCAAACATGGCCTGGATAAAGAGTTAAACGATAAATGTTCTGAGCATCGGTTTTTAGGAGAAGCTGTCTCATTGAGATTGGAGCAAAGTGCACTCTGCAGGAGTGTTTGCGGACAACGCTCGAAAAGTTTGGGCGCGAATAGTGCGACTGATAAACGATGCTCTTCTACGTGTTTGAATGTGAATTTGTCATACGATTCGAATATAAATGAAATAAGATACATTCAGCACATTCCTGTGCAGTAACTTTCATTCGGAACAAGAAGAAAGAAAGAAGTCACAAAAATGGTGGCCCAATTTTTTTCGACTACGTAGTCGAAAAAAAAAGTCGCGACTATGTACCAAAACAGAACAGGAATCTAGACTTATCAAGCGAGAGGCGAGAAAAATGAAAAATGCGCGAAGATCGGTCAAATTCGTCCTTGCCTGTCGTACAGACCAACAAGTTGTGAGACAGATCTGATGGTCTTTGAAGAAAAAAATTCATCAGTCGGGGGCACGCGACAGAGATGGGACGGAGACGAGAGACGACGGACCGACAAAGAAAAGCGGGGTGAAGCTGACTGAGACGAAGAGTAGAGTCGGGTAGACGTAGACAAAACACTAGCCAGTCGATCAAAAAAGTGCACGAAAACTACGAGACGGGTCCTCAAATTGAAGACAACAAAAAACAGATTAGAATCGTTGCACTTATGCCAACTTCACTTCTGAACAGCTAATTTTTTCGCAGAATGTGTTTAAAAGTAGCGATCGCTCTATATTGAAAACGTTATCTATAAAATATTCGCTCATCACCAATACAGAAATCATCGTAGAGAATCAAAATTGACAGATTATTGGAGAATCTTCTTTTAAAAAAAAGCAAAAGTCCACAAAGTTTTTCAAAATTCAAAACTGCCACAAGAAAAAACCACAGTACCTGGTTCGTTGTGGGACCCGACTTCGCCGTTTTGCCATGCTCCTTTGAAACAAATTCACAGTCTGAAAATTCGATTTGAAAATGTTGAAAATATTCAAATTCACAGTCTGAAAGTATTTTAAAAGTATCAAAAAAAGGAAAAATAAAAGTCTCATGATGCAAGTCAAAAATGATACTGCCAGCCACCAAAGTAATCTCTGAGTAGATTTTCTCTCATTCGTCTGTCTCTTGCACCCAAATAAATCGCAACGTGCACTTTCCGAAAATAAATATGATGTGCGGCGGCAATGAGAAAAAATCTCTAGATTGCAAAATGAGATGCTTAGGTGTGACGGAAAACGGAACAAAAAAGAGCTGATTCTGAGAGGAACAAACATTCAAAGTGTTTTTTATCGAAACGAAAACAAAAGGAACAAAATTGACGCTTTCCCTAGTCAAAAATGCTATTGTCTATTCAAAATAATCGCGCCGAAGCTGGTTTTGTGATCAGAACAGCATACTTTCTTTGGTGAGATGTTCTCTTCGCAGTCATTTGATTGAAAGCATCTAATAAAAAGTTGGAAAAGTTTCGGGTGTTTGACTTTGTTCATAGTTTTTTAATGGTTTAAAGATAATATATATGAAATCGAAGTAAGAAAAAAAAACTATTTCAAGTCCCAGTGTTTCAGGATAAACAGCAAACTGGCAAAGTAACTTCCCTTTAAGTGAATGGTTTTCTAAATTTGTGGTTTTAAAAATTTCAATATGAAATTTTTAAAAGACTTTTCAAAAAACTGTACTTTCATTTATCCGTGTAAAAGAATCCTCCCGATACCAAAGTCATAGTCACCTGAAAGTTAGATTAAGAACAGCTTTGAATAAAAAAGTTTATTCATGAACAGAGAAACTACAAAAGAGTGGAATATTTTATAATGAATCTCAATCAAGTCCTTG